GTCCCCTGGCCCCGCTGTCCCCTGGCCCCGCTGCCCCTATGGCCCTGCTGTCCCTATGGCCCCGCTGTCCCCTGGCCCCGCTGTCCCCTGGCCCTGCCACTCTCAGAGGGGCCCTAACAGCTGCCAAGGATGCAGCACCTGGTCTTGTTTTGTGGTGCCCTTAAATACCTGCTGCTGGAGGCTGGGATGAGGGATCCTCCTGGGAGGCAGGCTCTGCATTCTGGCCCGTCCCTGAAGTCCTGTTGCAGGTGCCTTTGCTCTGCCTGGACACTCCTGGGCTGTCCCAGCCCTGCAGCCCCCCGAGCAGCTCCCTGTGCCCCGGAGGCTCTGCCCCCAGCCTGGCAGCATCCTACTGGCATCTGCCTGTAGGAGATGTGGGACAGCAGCAGCTCAGCTAGCTCAAAGTTCAGCATGTTTTCAGTAAAGCTGATGTTTTTCTCTTTTTTTAGGATGTTGTGGAACCAGACACTGTTGCCACGCCTCAAGTACAGGCCCAGGATGGGGAAGAAACTATCTTCTAAGCCTTTTCTGCAGCTCCTTCAGTGCAACATTTACTCAAATGGCTATAGATTTATTTGCGCAGGTTGGGATGTTCACTCCTTTATTTTACTCCACAACCATCTGTCACGTTTCACTAGAGCAGCCTCTTGGTGTGCAGCAGACAACTGAAATAAGCCTCTCTGTGCCAGCCCAGGAAACAGCACTCCTTTGGAATTGTGAAGACAATAATAATAGGGATTGTTCCACAGCTGTCATGCTTGTTTTTCCCAAAACAGAGAAGTATTGGGCTGGCAGAACCTCCTGTTCTTGGGCGGGCTGGGGGTGGCTGTGTGTGTGTTTCTGCAGGAGGTGTCTGACTGCTCAGTGTCTGCTCCCCTGCCTTGCTCTGCCTGTCCTCAGCCTCTCTGAGCTGCTGACTCCTGCCAGAGAGTGGGGCTGGGTGCTGGTTGCAGACCTCGGGGCACTGGTTCTGCTGAGAGCCCCGGGGTGTGCAGAGGGGGCCTGGCATGGGGTGTCCAGCGTGGGCAGGGGCTCGGGAAGGTGCACGGTGGCCTCTCTCTCCTTGGGGATCCGGGCTTGTTGCTGGCCACACTTGAGGGTGATCTTGGAAACGTTGTTGGCAATTGTTAAACTTGTCTTTACAAGTGAATAAAGCCTGGCCTGTTGCTCTTTCTGGTGTCAGCCAGGGGTGAGTCCTTGGGCCCACTGTGTCCGTGCTGCAGCTGCAGGAGGGATGGTCAGTGTGGAGCTGCTCAGTCCAGCACTGGCTGCTCATCTTCCCTGCCAGGGGCTCCCTGCCAGCTCTCCATCCCCCTGGGGGCTCCCTGAGACCCTTTCTGGCCCCGGGGTCCCAGGTGGGTGTCTGTGGTCACCAGCAGGCATTGCTGGGAGGCTGGAGGAGGCTCTGCCCCAACACTGAGGAGCAAGCTCTGTCTTCAGATTGGGAAATGGAGCTGAAATGAGCAGGATTTTGTGTGGGTTGTTACTATGAGTCACTTAAGATCAATATACATGGGACAGGAATTTTAAATGTGATCAAGGAATCAATGTTTATTCCTTTGCTAAAGATGGTTACATTTGTATTTTCAATCTGGATTCCAGGAAGTGCTTTGAAAGAGAAAAGTAGACAAAAAAGACTAATAGTAGCTTTACAGTGCTGAGCAGTTTCAGTGAAAGCACTGGGTGGTGTGGTTGCAGTGCTCATGCTGTGCAAGATACACAATCTTTGCTTACAAACCACCAGTTTGACTTTTGACCATTCAACAGTGGTCTCTTCCTTTTAATCAGAGAATGTCCATAAAATCAGGAGTAGCTTTTCACTGGACCAGGATATTTTCAATGTTGTTCAGTACTAAAAAAGTGCAGTAAATAGAGAATAGGTGTTTAAATACTCTACAGTTGAACAGACCTGTCCTGTGAGGTGCTCAGGACCTTCTCCAGAGGTTTGCTGTTTCTGTGTACATGGGCACACCTGCACGTGTGCTGAAGTCTGTGAAAAAACCTGTGCCAGTCTGTGTAGTTCCTTGCATTTTTGCAAGTGGTTTCATGGTAAGAGTAATACTTGCCAGTCAAGCTGTCAGTGGCCTGGTTGTCATTGTTTGCTTTCTAACGGAACAACTGATGTTGGGTTGAGTATTCGTGCTGCTGAAACGGTGTCCTGCAGGTATCCATGGAAAGCAAATGTGACTCATGAGAGTGATGGTACCAGAGCTGTTGGCACCTGTGCCTCCACGTGGGCTGCAGTTTGGGTGTACAGATGGGCAGAGGAGGAGTGTGGGCATTTGCTGTGCAGGGATTCCCTGGGAGGCTCAGGATGAACACGAGGCTGTGCTTGGGCAGGGCATGAACCACGCTGGCTTGTTTGATGTTTAGTGCCTTTACTGAGCACAGGATGAAAGTGTGACAGGCAAGAGGTCTCAGTCATCTGTTGTGGCAAGTGCTGCAGCATCCCAGAGTACTCATAGTATTCTCTTGGTCTGCCAGCTGGGAGCACCAGGAGCAGGTTCCCACTCCAGCACCAGCTCTGTGCCCTGCCAAGGGAGCTGCAGCCCTGCGGGAGCCCCAGCTGTGCCCGAGGGGCAGGTCCTGCTGGGCCACAGCCCTGCCCAGTGTCCAGCACGTGCTGAGCCCTGGGAGGGCGATGCAGGGAGTGATTGGTGCTCCTCAGGGCTGCTGGTGGGCTCTGGAGAGGTTCTTCCTCTTGGTGCAGCCTCTGTCCAGCTGCCAGCCTCCCCTCCCCACGCTTCAGCCAGGAGAAGGGTTCCTTCCTTTAAAGAAATCCAGCATTCTGAGCATGGTGAAGGTGGAGAAGTGGCAGGTCCACTTCAGCCTTTGAGAGGAGAAGGCAGGAGTTGGTAACCAAGAGGAAGCTGAGCTCCCAAGGCACTCTTGGCTGCAGAAGACCTGGGGCATCAGAGCAGTCCCAGGTAAACAATGCAGTAGTGATTGTAAGGAGCTGGAAAGCTGACAATTCATTATTTAAAGTACTTAAAATATTTATAAATGGCACTTGCGTGTGTTTTTAACAGGGAAATTAATCCTGTGGTTAGGAACGTGCCGACTTGGACAAGTTCTTGTCTTGCTCTAAACCCCCTCCCACTTCAGGTACTCTGGTTTTATATCCTGAAAGAAATTTAAAAACCCCAACATTCATATTGATGAGATCATGTAATTTCTCTCATGCTTTCTCTGGCAGCCATAGTTACAGGGTAGCTCCAGGCAGCTTTGGTCTGTGGTGAGAAGGCAGCCTGCACCCCATCCTGGCAGCTGGGCCTGGCCACGTGCTGGTGGGACCCCCTTTCTGCCCATCTCCTCCCTGGTTCCACACGCTGGCAGGGCCACAGGCAGCTCCTTGGGACAACAGGCTGGGGAGAACTTCATGGGTTTGGAAATGATGGTGATCTCTGCTGTCCTTGCAGACATACAGACCCTCCCTCCCAGGGCAGCCTCCAGCCCCCAGGGCTGCCAGGCCAGGGCTCTGGTGTGGTGCAAGCACTTGTTTGGTGGGACGTGGGTGTGTTTTAGTCTGAACCATCTGTTACAGGTTAAACAGGCTGAAATGTTGCCACAGCTCCTGGGCACTGGCTCGTCTTAAAAGCAGGGTAAAAATCCTTGGAGCGTCTAATTCTTTTTAAATATTTCAGTGTGCTGGGCTCCTTGGGCTTCTCTGAGAACAGCACTAACCAGTTGCATGGCCACAAATTACTTCAGAGATGTGCTATCCAGTAATTTACATTTTTCAGAGTTTTTATTTGTGTGACTAACCAATCACTCCTGTGAACCACACTTTCCTCCTAAGCCTGATGTTTCCTCTTTAGAGACCAATTAATTAAGACATGGTTTTCTTCAAGGAGCTAGTGTAAAATTATTTGCAAGCAGTTTGCCTTGTAAAGAGCTTTTTAAGGTATAAAAGTTTTGCCTTCAGAAGCTTTCTGATTATTTTTTTTATTGTTGTTTCCACATTTCCACTTTCCAAGAATTGCTTTGAGATTTACACCAAGCAGCTCAGGTACCAGTGAGAGCAGAGGTATTAATTCATGCAAAGGAGTCTGTTTGCCTTACTCTATTTTCTGTTCTCACATCCAGTTTAATTTCTGGTTTTCAGATACAGCTGCTGTATTAATGGAGAGTCATTGTGATTGGTTTAAGCAAGGGAGAAGACACAGTGCAGAGTAGTTGTAAGGAAAAGATTCCTGTTGAAAAGGAAACTTAATGCTGGAACTGATTTTTCAGATAAGACAATTGATCCTTTCTGCCCTGTTCGTGTCTCGGGCACTGGCCAGTGTGAAACCCAAGGAATGAGCTCTAATCCCTGCCCCCTCCTTCAGTTTATTCCCTACTTGTGCTTCTGGAGCTCAATCTTGTGAAACATCTGGTCCATTGGATAGTCAAGTAGGGCATTTTCATCCCAAAGGCACCTTTCCTCTCTGCACGTCTTTCCTTAAAGCTCTTCCAGTTTCCAATGTTGCTTTTACGTCTAGAAAGAACAGGACTTATTTCCTCCAGCTGCCAAGAAATCTGGATGTTGTTTTGTTGCTGTTTGCAAGGTGGACGTGGGGTTGTTACTGTGGAAGGACAACAGGGCTGAGTTTGCAACTGGAGGATCAAGAGGGAGGTGGGCTGGGTGTGCACTCTCACGTCCCTTTCTCCCTCACTGAATTTTCAGGTGACTCAAAACAAATGCAAAGCCTGGGACAGAGGTTGCCAAGTGACACCTTCCGGGCTTGTGCTGCCCTGGGGCTGTGGCAGGCACAGGCTGCAGTGGGCAGAGCCTGCAGGGCAGCTCTGGCTCCCGGTGTCCCTCTGCTCACTGCCTCGGCTCAGGGGTCACTGGCATCAGAACCAGCTGGGACAGTGTCCGCAGAGCCAGGCCCAGCAGCTGGGAACACGAGGTGCTGCTGGGCCAAGAGGACACTGGTGTCTTTGAATCCAGTTAACGAGCGACATTACAGCAGGATTCCTTGCAGCTAAATTTTGCTAATTGGAAAAAAGACCCTAGAAAATTACAGCATAATTACCTCTGTAATTGCTTCTAGAAGAAGAGTTCAAGTTCTCCTTCCCTACTTCTTTTAAATTTTGTTTTAATTTCCAGTGATGAGAGTTGCTGCTGCAGAGCCTGGCCATGGCACCCCTCCAGGTCAGCAGGCACTAGCTGGCAATCTGCTCCAGCTTTGCTGCAAGGCAGAAGAGCAGCTCTGCTCTGCCTTACCATGACCGTATCTGTGACACAAGTTGGTGTGTTTTCCTTCTGGTTTGATTTGTTTGGGAGTAGCGGTTGCTTTTTGTTAGCAGATGTCTGAATGAAAGCTTACACTCTGGGAAAAACTATCATCACTCAAACCACAACAAGGAAGTGGGTAAGAAAACACAAACATCTGCAAAGAGCACCACTGAGGTGGCCACCCAAACATGCCTTTATTCTCAGCGAGCAGGAAAGCATCCAAGGATCCAGGCTCTGAGGAGCTGCAGCTGAGGGGCTGCTGTGCTGGGGAGCTGCATGAGCCCCTGGGGATGACAGTGAGACATGGGACGTGTCCTGGGCTGTGGGGAACTCAAACGAGGAGCGAGATCTTGTTCAGAAGTTGGGAGCAGGAAGAGCTTTGTCCCCATGGGGGCCTGGGTGGTGGTGGGGAGTGACAGGCTGCTCCTCCTCTTGACAGGGACTGGGCTGGTCAGGGAGGGCTGACAGCCCCATGACTTTGTTAAGGCCACAGTAACAACAACTTGCCTTGGAGCTCTGAAACTCTAACTGATGACTTTTTGCTTTCATCCCTTAAAATTAATAATGCTAAAGCTGAAAGTGCAGCGTTCCTTGTAGCCATGCACTTCATGAAAGAAAAGAGGCACAGCACCGAAAAGCCCCAGCCCTGGAGCAGGTCAGCAGAGCAGGACCCCTGAGCAGCACTGGGAAGGACTTTTGCCACCCCCAAGTGAAGCTGTTGGGTGCAGCTGCCCCCAGGGAGCAGAGGGGCCTGGTGCCAGGCCTGCTGCTGCAGGGCAGCCTGGAGCTGTCAGCTGCTGTCTTCAAAGCTGCTGCTGCAGGAGTGGAACCTCATGGTGCTCATGGGATCCGCCACGTACCCTGCAAGGCACAGAGAGAAGTTCACTGGTGGCTCAACACAACAGCCATCCCTCCCTCCCTCCCTCCCTCCCTCCCCACCCTTTTCCCTGAGGGACAATGTCAACAAAATAATGTGCATATCATTCTCATAGAATAGATACAAATAGATTTTTTGAGATAAAAAGGCACAGGTCGTGCTGAGACCTTTTTGCTGTCTGCGAATCTCCAGTCAATATTGTCTCCTGACCCTCCCCACCCTTTTCCCTGAGGGACAATGTCAACAAAATAATGTGCATATCATTCTCATAGAATAGATACAAATAGATTTTTTGAGATAAAAAGGCACAGGTCGTGCTGAGACCTTTTTGCTGTCTGCGAATCTCCAGTCAATATTGTCTCCTGAGGAAAAAAAATGTAAATAGGAAATAAACAGCCCCTGTCCTTCCTGCAATGAATTCACAATAACCAAGCACAAAAAAAATCTTTGGTGACTGGTGTCCAAACATTAGTCTCAATGTTTTAATAACACAGTGGAAGTTTGACATTAAAAATAATACTTTTGCCCTTTCAACAAGAGCTTTGGAACTCTCCACATGAGCATTCTGATACCTGCTTTTAAAATATCTCAGTTCTTGATACTACAAACCAAGCAACTGCTGTTGCCAATACAGAACTTCCAATGAGCTGCCCCAACAACGCCAAAGAAATCACTGTTCATGGGGCCACTGGGCAGCTGCCCCCGTGCTTATTTCACTGTACTAAGGGTAAAAAACCAGTGGTGCCAACTCCAATGTCTTGGGAAAGAGGCTTTGAAGAGAGATACTCGGGAGCTTGGAAAACAAGAGCAGAGAAACCAGAACAGGAACAATTGCTGGGGCACAGGGTGGGAGAAGGGGCAGAGGACATGGCAGGAGCAGGGTGCTGCTGGGGCTCCTGCTGAGGAAGGGAAACAGAGACTGTTCCTCATTGTTTACAGACTGCACGTGCAAATGGGGGAAATGCAAAACATTGGGCAAAGAGCAAAGAGAAAGAAAAAAGATCAAAATGGACAAGAATGAGGAGAGAGAGCAGCGAGGTTTATGTGGCATAAATAAAGAGTGGAAATATTTGCAATCATTAGACCAAGCACTCTAATAAAATAGGGCTCAGGGCTCTCTGCCTTCTGCTGTGCTGCTCTGCACTGCAATGGCTGATCCCTCTGCCAGGATCTGGAAGCCTGGGGTGCAGGCAGAGCAGGGTGGCTGGGCTTCACGGTGCCCCAGGGGCCTCCAGAGCAGCTGGGCTTGGTGCTCTGCCACAAGGGGTGGAGATTCCTTGTTCTCCAATGCTTTTCCTCAGGATACATATCCTGGTGATACTGCAGGACCCAACTGTGAGCTGCACATGACTGCTGAAATGGAGTACAAGGCAAGGAGGAGCTTTTCCAGTCCTGCTGTGCCTAGCAGCCAGGATCTGCACTTTCCCCTGTGCCACCCTGGAATCCTCCATGGTTTTCTGAGCTAGTGCAGGGCTGGGCTTGGCCAGGTCTGTGACCAAGTTGTGCTGCCCCATGGCCCTGCTGACCTGCCCAGCAACAGGAGGACTGCCTGGGGCCACCTCCCTTCCCACTCACATGCTTTGGTTCCCTTCTGTGGAAGCTGTAATTCCAGGAACAGGTATTGAAATTGAATCTTGAGGACTTGAAAATGGAGTCTGAAATCACTCCTAAATTCCACAGCTTAAATGTAGCTGTGGAGAGCCTCTTCTTCCCCACTCTTCATTGCCTTGTGTCCCTTGTTAACATAGGCTTGAGAAGCTCTCTCCAGTCTTGCCTGGGTGGTCTTGCTCTGGGAGGTCACTAAACATTTCTGTTTTGTTCTTGTTTTCTTCCTCCTGGAGTTTTCCAGTTGCCAGGTACTTGATGAAAGCTGAAGCCTGAGGAGCTGCTCTCTGCAGCTCCGGAACCTCCTTCAGTTTCTCCATGCAGCAACAGAAAAGCTCTTGGTTTTTTCAGTTTCAAAGGTCATTAATTCCTGACTTGCTATGACAGCAGCACTGCTGTGAGCCTTGTGCTCAGTAAATATTTATATGACCAGGTTTGCTCTTTTTCTCACCCAGTCTGCTCAGTTCAGAGTGCAAGAGTCATGCTGAGGCCAGGGAAGAACAGCAAAGATGATGAGTTGATGAGTTTCTGGTATATGCTTCAGGCAGAACAAAACCACTGAATTCTCCTGGTGACAAAACAGGTTGGAAAGTGGCAGAAAAGTAAGAGCAGATGCCAGGAGAGGGGTGAGAAGGCCCCAGGGCAGGAGACAGCAGCAAACTGAGTGAGGACAGGAAGACTGTAAAAGCCAATGGGCTCACTCAACAGAGAAGACATTTGAACATCCAGAAAAACGTATGTGAGCGCAGAGCAAAACGTTCTCCTTGTAGGTGCCTCAGAGAAACAGTCCTTACTGAGGACAGAGCAGCTCTGCTCACAGCACACACAGCCTCCCTGCTGGGCACTGCTGGGGCAAGAAGCAGCAGCAGGCAGGGCACTTCTGTCCTGGAAGGCAGCAGAATGATGGGATGTCATCTAAGAGGAGGGTGAATGGTGAAAAGGAGATATGTCATGTTATGCTCCTGTGATACTCCAGAAATAGGACTGTCCTGCTCAGTCTTTGCAGAAGCAGCCTTGAGGATCTAATGCCACATCTCCTTATTCACAGCTCCACACATTTGGGCAGAAAGGACCACCTCAGCTCTGCAGGGCACAGAGTCACAGTCGTGCTGGTTGGAAAAGACCTTAAAGCTCATCAAGTCCAACCATAACCTAACTCAACCAAGTCCAGTGCTAAACCATAATCCTTAGCACCACACCTACATGGCTTTTAAACACCTCCAGGGATGGTGATTCAACCACCACCCTGTGCAGCCTATTCTGCTTCATTTAATTACCCCTTCAGTGAAGAACTTGATTCGAATATCCAACCTAAACCTGCCCTGGAGCAACTTGAGGCCATTTCCTCTTGTCCTGTTGCTGTCACTAGAGAGAACAGACCAACCCTCACCCCACTACAACCTCCTTTCAGGCAGCACAGGGTGAGACCTCACCAGCTCTGACAGTAACCAACAACCTCCACCAAACACTAGTTTTGTCATGAGACTCTTTGTGCCTCAGGAGGCTGCAGCTCTGCAGTGGTTTCCCACACCAAGATGCTCAGGGCAGTATCCTGCATTAACTCACCGTTCTTGTCGATTGGTGGGTACTGGAAGTTTCTTCTCATGTCCTCCAAAGACAGACCCTGAGAAGGGTGTTGCTCAGTGCTGCAAATTAGACAGGAGGTGTCAGTTCAGGTAAAGTCACATCTCCAGACCATGAGAACTTTTTCTACAGAGTTGGAAGGAAAAGACAGTACCACAAAATATATCAGCCTGATGCCCAGCCACTGGCCTTTGCAGTGAACAGAGAGCAAGAAAAAGTTATGAAGCAAGAACATGAATCACATCTATGCCCACATTTCCTCCCCATCTCAAAGTAACTTCCCTCCAATCCACTGTTTGGAGCTTCACAAGAGTTTTAGCATCACTGTTTTAGAAGCAGTAGTCTATTTTATGCACCATAACAGATTCCTGCAAGTAAGTTTCTCTGGCAAGGAAGATTGCTGAATTATCTTCCAGTCCTTGACCAAAGCCACTGTCCTGCCACCAGGTTGTTGACCCCGATCCCAAGGAGCTATCAGGGACAGCACTGTCCTCTGCCAGGTCTTCTCAGATTGCAGGCAGGCACCAAATGCACACCAAAACCAGAAGCCCAGACTGCTCTCATTTAGCACTCAGTTCCTCAATTCCCAAGGAGCAGCCAAAAGAATAAAGCAAGAGATAACACTGCCAGTGATACTGTTTTGGGGAAGCACCATCCAGGCAGAGGCTGAAGCCAAGAGCCAGCCCAAGCCTGGCTGGCAAACCTGCATCTGCAAGGACAGCAGGAAGCTGCTCAGCATCTGCGGGCTGGGGGAAGAGCCAGGAGGTCTCCAGGGGCTCTGTGCTAAAGGTATTAAGAGGTAGAAAATCAACAGTTAAAAATTCTCTACAGTGAGGGGTTCTCACGTTAAGCTGTCCTGACAGACACAATTAAAATGCTCTGTTCCTGCATCCATCTTGTGACAGACCCACCACGCTGCAAAGCAACCCCCTGAACTGGCTCCAGAGTCACAGGGCAAGGAACCAAGGACTTCCCTGCCAGGGCTGTGTAATTCCACGGCTGGGACATGGAGACCCCTTGGTCCTGCCGTGGGGTGGAGCTGCTTGCTGCAGTGTCTCACAGACACGTGGTTGGAGCACAGGTAAACAGGAGCAGCTCAGGAAACATTGTCCAGCTGGGGAAAAAAATCCAGCGTGAAAACACTCACACTTGCAAGAAGGAAACCCTGAGGGAAAAGATTGTCATTAGGAAGTGAAGCCATTAATCATCTCAGTGTGTTGTATGATCTACAACTACTGAAACAGTGGAACCTGTTTCGTTTCCATCGAGTGTTGTGCCTGTGGGCGAATCTTTCTGGGTGCTATTTATAGATTTGAATGTTGTCAGCTTGTATGGCAGAGCATCTGATAAAAGAATCCACCTCTAAATAACTGCTGGGCTGACTGAGGAGCCCGTTCTGGTGGGCTAAGGAGCCTCAGGGCTGCCCTGGGAACCCCGAGGTACCTGCCTGCGCTGGCCCGCGTCACCTCGCTCAGTCCATGCCAAGATGTTACACTCGACAGCAAAGCCTGGTCCTTTCCAGAAACCAGCTGTCCGGCTGCCACGGCCTTCCCTGCCCTCAGTGCCACCTCCACCTCCTGCTCCAGCAGCAGGTGACACAGCAGCACAGTCTGGGACACACCACAGGTTGCCAGACGAGTGGTGCAGCTCTGATCTGTGTATACGAGGAGAAGGTGCCTGCGGGTGTTGACCTTCTCCTCTCCACACAAGCCCCGAGCAGGCAAAAGGGCTTCATTCTGCTCCTGCCTCCAGCCCCGCGGTGTGTCCGGCTGGGAGCAGGAGGTGCTGGGAGCAGGGCTGGCTCTGCCACGGGCAGGGATTGGCCGGGCACTGCTCTGCTGGCAGCACCATCCCCTGCTCGCAGCGCTCCCGCCAGGGGACAGCGATGTGACACTGCCAAGTTTGCTCTCCAACCCAGCCCTCCCAAGCGGTAAAACAGGCTGCCTCACGTCTTAACTTAGTGGTACGAAAATAGAGAATGCACAGGTGACGTTGCCCAAGAAAATGCTGGGAGTGCTTCTTACCCTTCCTTCTGTGGCCGGGTGAGGGGAGGGC